AGATCATTCTGTTTTTAGGCTAGGTTTATAGTTTTACAAGCTTTGTGTCAAATCTTGATATTTTAAAACACCTATCAAGACAGATATAAACCTGTCTGATCAGTAAACCCAGGCAAAAATGAATTCTGACAATTTTGGAGGCATTTCTGTATTTATGTTATCACAAATTTAAAATCATATAATTTATCAAATATTTACATAAGCAAACTGAAAACATTTGGGTTAGTTACTATCAAACATATTTTTGATAAAATATTTGATTCAAGCACTTTTTCCCCCTTTTAAATTAATCAGAGTTCTTTCATATATTTTGCTAGAAAAAGATTACCTACACACAGCATAAAAACATATACAGGTATACAAATAGAAGCAGATTCCCTAGCTTTCATTTTGAAATTTTAGTCAGGAGACAGTAAAACATAATAACACAAATTCACCAGTTGATTAAAGACAGTCGGATCCAAATTATATTTCTGACAAAATGGAAAACATGGCTAAACATTATTTACCCCAATATGTAATCCAATGAAGACTATGGACAAAAATTTTGGGTAAGACAGGTTGGATTTAACAGAAAAACTTCTTTTACCCTTTTTTGCTTTATCAGTTTCAAAGAAGTAAATGAGTTTAGGGTTAAATTTTCAATGTTTACATTTTACCAAGGACTACTGAACTGTATAAGAAAAACAAAATCTCCAAATGAGCTTGAATTAGTAACAAATCTATCTTTTGTTTGCCAATATGGTTTTTTAAAAAGCTAATCGCAGGTTTATTTATTTGTCTGTTTGCTTTTTTCTGGCCCTGAGTGACAGATAAAGCAATTTTTATGTTGGACACAGATATCATATATTATTGCTCTGACTTCAAGATTTTGACCTATTCAATCTGAGAACTTTTATAAACATTTATCTACTTTTTTTCTTTTAGAATATAAATCTTTCAATTAACTGTTTCATCACCCTAAGCAACTATTAGTCAAGCAAACCTAAATTTATATTTCCAAAAGGTGTCCAGGTCCATGGAGCTGTTGTCATTTGTAAAGCCATTAATTTAAAAGCCCTTTAAGACTTTTTTTAACCTTGGCTGGAATACCATAAACGGTGAGTTTATCTCAACACCAGTAGAAAATTCAACATATTCAAAGTAGGCAGAAAACAAAACACCAAAAAAAAAAAAAAAAAGAGAGAGAGAGAGAGAGAGAACTTAGAAGGCTCTACATGTTAACTCTATAGTTGGTTGCTGGTTTTTAAAAAGTTTAGAGAGTTTGAATAATGGCCATGGAGCTCTGAATTTTTCTTGATGTAATTTTCCCACCATTTAAAAAATGTGCAAGAGAACAGGCCATAATATGTAGCCAGCTGGAGTCCCAGAAAACCTGGCATGCTTTAATGTTTCAAAATCCTATTTTGTTTCTTATTAATCTCTTGAGAGCAAAGAAAATCCTGCAAATTCTGTTAGAGAATGTCAGGAGTTTGGACTGGTGTTTTAGATAATGGCTTTTCTAATTAGTCATTCTCCATCCACCATTTAGGTTGTTTAGTTTTACTCTCCGAGGATTTTAAGAAACAAGCAAGGGAAAAGAAGAGACAAACCACTTACAGAAGTGTTTAACTAAACAAAAATGAAACCAAAATCAGAGTGTTAACAAAAATTTTAACACAGGTGTACAGATCAAAGAAAATATTAAACTAGGTATGTAGAACCAAAGTGAATTCACCAGAAAAGATATGCTACAGAGGTAGAATGTAAATTTTGTAGAAAGAGTACTCAAGCTAAAAAGATACTTGTGTTTATATCATAAAGGGCTTGTCAAAAAAAAATTCTTCCATAGTCCTGAGAGGGTTGCAAGGTGCTTTATTTAAGGCAGCCTTATAATGAAACCAAATCCCAAATAAAGGCAAAAAACCTCAACCAAAAAGACAGAGGTTTGGCCCGACAGAAGACTCACCAGGTCAGAAAAGGCGAGCTGTAGAATGGGAGAGCTCAAAGGGCTCAAAGTGAGTACTGCATGCCAGTTCCAAGAATCACCAATTCCTTCCAAAACTGATCTTACTTCAGGTCCTGCTTCTAGACACTATATATGTCAACCTAAATAACAAATAGAGATTCAATAAAAGGAAAGAGTATTTACTTGGGGATAGGGCATTGCAATGGGAATACACAGGCCATGGTAAACTGTGTGCATATTTAGGGAAGTAAAGGAAAAATGAGGAGGATTGTATAATTGTTTTGACATAATTACCGTTGGCTACAAGACTCAATGACATGGGTGGTGCCAGTCTGAGATTGGACAGGCAGTTGCTGAGCAGATACCCTCACATAAGTATTTTTTTGTGCAAGGTGGTGGTTTTTGCAGTCTTCTGTTATAATTCTTATCTGTCATTTATATGTGAGAACCCTCCCTACATAATCTTCCGTGGCTCTATTTGTCAAGTTATTATTTTGTCTTTTATTTTTAACACAAGTGACTCCATTTTGATTCTGACAACTTTCACAACTTAAAGGCAACTGGTTGTAGATGCTAATCACATCTACAAAATACCTTCACAGCAATATTTACACTAGTGTTTGACCAGACTATTGTGCGTGGTAGCCTAACTAAGTTGACAGGTGAAATTAACAATCACAGCATGTGAAAACTGAATGGTGCTTCCAATGTAACCAGAAACAAAGCAGATGACCAGTGAGATCACTGTGGCCATGAGGAGGGTGACTTCAGGCAGTTCTTCACAAAATTTATTGTGTGCGTGAATCACCTGAAGATCTTGTCTAAATGCAAATTTTAACCCAGTAGGTCTGGGGTGGAGTCTGGGATTCTGCATTTCTAACAAGCTCCCAGGTGATGCTTATGCTTCTGGTCTGCAGTCTGAGTAGCAAGACATTTGAAGGCCTGCCTGACAGAGGCAGATGGCCAAAGAGATGGAACAGCATTGATAGTGGCTGAAACTGGGGCACAAGATAAGCAAGAGGCTCTGCATATGGAATTATAATGTTCAGATCTGAGATGAGCCAGAAAAGATGTAACAACTGCAGCACCTTCTGCAAAGCAACAGCAGAGAATTTCAAGACTATGTACTGAAATGATTGGATTCTTCTGAGAAACTACAGAGAAAATTTGAGAGCCCCAGTGGCTATCAGGCAGGGCCAACTGTGAAATACCAAGGGTGCAAAGCATACTAGCCTCAAAATAATGCAATGGGATCAGCAACAGCCACGTGTCAAACATCTCTGGAGAAATGGAGGCACTGTGGTTTCGTAGGACCACATTGGCATTCTCACGTCATAATTAGTTAGACAATGCCTCTAAGTCAGTGGTTCTCAAACTTTCCCACCAAAACTCCCCTAATAGCAGAGAAGAGCCAAAAATGCATTCCCAAAAGCCTGACTTAACAAAGTCTGTAGCCCTTTAAATCACACATTTTCACTTTTAAAGTTATATGAATGTTGTACTTGATTAGGGTTCTCCAGAGAGACAGAACCTATGCCTTCCTTTTGCTTTATTGCAGGTATACAACTTCTGGACAGTGCAGGGGTTTCTATAAAAGAATCACAGGACTCTGTATATCACAGTGGGAACATATGATTGACTTTGGGAAGGTTATCTCATGGCGTTACTCAGCCGGAAGGGAGCACCTCGATGCCATCTTGTGGGGCTGTATTTGTGCCTATTGTATGATTTTTTTCTTTGACATTTGGGCATTCTATCAGGCTGTGAAAATTGAAAGTTTAATTTAGGTCCAATTCAACAGATCGGGTATCTCTACAAATTATTGGAGACTCCCTTTTGTGAACTATAGACAAACTTGTAACAAAAATGGGCAACCAGGCCATCCACAATACCAGAAGGTAGCCCACTAGGAGTCCATTCGATTTCCCCCATTAACCTGAAAGCAGTTAGTTTTTCTTTGCAACACTGCTTGACCCCATTACTCACTGGGAACAGGAGAACAATGGCCAGGGAATGGATCCCTGAACTTTAATACAATTCTGCAGTTAGATTTATTCTACAGAAGAAAGAAAGAATGGGGTGAGATTCTGTATGTACATTGTTTTATGTTACTCTAGCAAAATAAGCGAATGCAGAAAGGGTGTAAAGTTATGATCCAGCAGGCTAATGATGAGAAAAAACTGTGCTGCTTGAATCCTGAAAAAAAGGATGGTAACACCTTGATTATTCAGTTAAGTGTGCCATTATCTCCCCTTCTCCCCCACTGTGGAGGGGCTGGAGCTGTGCCACAATACTTGAGCCGGGGTCCCCATCTCCACAGGGCCAGGAACCAGGAGCAACAGGAATGGCCTCATACCCAACAGGGAACTGATTCAGTCAGGGCACCACCATAGCTCCAGGAGGACAATTCCCTCTTTGGCAGATACCCCCAGGGGGAATTGACTCTGTCACAGTCAACCATGGGATTTTTCTGGGTCCACTCTCCGTTTTCCACCCCTGACTTGGAAAAACAACATGCCTATATATCGGGATGACCCAGGGAAAATGGAAAACTTGTTTTCCTCAATATTTGCAACTCACAACCCCATTTGGGTAGATGTTCATAGTCTGCTCAACAGTTTACTGACCTCGGAGAAACAGAAGATGGTTCTAGGTAAGGCCAGGGAAGAAGCGCAGCTCGTGCACACCGACTCTCCCAGTAACCCAGCAAGGACGGCTGCTCAGGTCACAGTGCCCACCTGGGACCGGGGTGGAATGTGAACAATGGGGACAGACCCAAGCTTGAGCATTATCGAGGTTACATCTTAGTTGGTCTCTGCAAGGGAGTGCTGAAATAGAGGAGTCTTAATGAAGTTCAGGAGGTTAGGCAGAAAACTAATCTTGGAATATATTTTTGAAGCATACAGGCAGTATGAAGACGTTGAATTCTAAAATGGTAAAAATGATTTTCATCAGCCAAAGTGCTCCTAACATTCAGGAAAAGTTACAAAAATTGGATAGAGCTCTGGGCATGTCTATGTCCCAGTTGGTAGAAAATGAAGCCATTTTCTAAGGTGTTCATGGATTGAGAAGAAAGAGATGGTGGAGAAAAGAGAGCAACAAAAGATAAAACAACAGGCCACCCTTCTGGTGCTGCTTTGACTCAAAGAACTCCAGGACCATGGTGTGGACCTCCACTCAGGTGCTCCATCCAAGATAGAACCCCCCATCCCTGGGACACCCCCCTCCCCCCCACTGTAGGTAGCAATCAATGTGCCTACTGCAAGCAAGAAGGGTAACTGGAAAAGAGATTGCCCATGCCTTAAAAAGACTCATGCGGGGAAGAATCCCCTTCCCATTCACCAAATGCCCAAGCTAGCCAGGAAGCTTGAGGCTGAAGATAGTGAGTATGGGGACCAGGAATGACGGGGCCCAGGAATAATGGGCCCCAGGATTGGTTGTTAGCACCATAATGGAGGCATCTGACCAGAACACTATACAAACTCTAAACTTCCTGAGTGAGGGTACATGGTGTCCAAGAAAAAGGCTCAGATGTCACAGCCTTCAGTGAAATACCTTGGGTTCGAGCTCTCCCAAGGACAGAGAAACCTGCTCCTGCTCCCTGATCAGAGGGAGGCCCTTGCCAGAGTAGCCAGACCTACCACTCAGTGACAGCTGGGGGGCTCCTTAGGCATGGCCAGTTTCTGTTGCATCTGGATTCCTAACTTTGGACTTATCACTAAGCCTCTATATGATGCCTTAAGAGGAGGAGATAATGAACACTTAGAGTGGACTGGGGACTGCCGAGAAGGCTTTCTTAAACATAAAGGAAAAACTGTTGACTGCCCCAGCACTGGGGATCCCAGATATAAGGAAATCTTTTGATCTTTTCATGCATGAGAGGCAAGGAATGAGTCTAGGAGTGCTAATTCAGGACCTAGGAAATATTAAGAGACCCATTGTTTATTTCTCAAAGCAATTGGACATTATCACAAAGGGATGGTCTTCTTGCCTTCAGGCTGTTGCTGCCACTTACGACCTGCTTCAAGAGGCAGAGAATTTTACATTAGGTGAGCCCACCACTGTGCACACCCCCACTGTGTGCTCCCCTTACTGGAACAGAAAGCAGGATATTGGCTGACCTCTGGGAGGCTTGGCAGATAGCAGGCCATCCTTTTGGATAATCCAAATGTAACACTGAGAGTGGCCTCTACTTTAAAACCTGCAGCTTACTTCCTCAAATGCCACCTGAACCTGTGCATGACTGTTTATAAATAATTGAACAAATTTATTTTAGCCAGCCAGATCTAACTGACACACACCTAGAAAATCCAGACCTAGAGATGTTTACCAATGGAAGCAGTTTTATGGATCAGGGACTACAGAGAGCTGGGTATGCAGTGGTTACCCATCAATAGATATTAGAGGCTGAAGCACTCCCCCTGGAACCTCGGCAAAGAAGGCTGAGCTCGTAGCCCTCATCAGGGCACTCAAACTAGGTAAAAGCAAATGAATGACCATTTATATGGACTCCAGGTATGCTTTTCCTGTTGTTCATGCTCATGGGACCATCTAGAAAGAAAGAGAACTTCTAAAGAAATAAAACATGCTTTAAAAAAAAACATGCTAGCCTTGCTAGATGCCATTGTAGCCCCCAAGGAAGTGGCTGTAGTGCATTACCTTAGTCATCAATGGACAGACAGCCTGGTGGCAAGGGGTAGTCATCAGGCAGATCGGGCCATAAAGGAAGCAACAAGGAAAAAGACTCCTAAGCCTTTAATTATGCTTTTGCTGCCTGACATAAATCTTGGTCCTGAATCTCCCATATACTTGGAAAAAGACCTGAAAAGATACCTTGATTAGGGGTTCAACCCCAACTCAGGATGGGCGAATATGAGGTAGGAACAGTTCTGGTACCCAGATATCTCATGAATGACATTGTCAAGCATATTCATGCCTCTACCCATTATGGCAGGGATGCCGCCATACAATGGATCCAGAAATATATCATTGGCCCACATATGAAAAAGCCATTCAGGAGGTTATAAGAAAATATCTCCTGTGTGCTCAGAATGACCTCCAAAATATCCCTCCCCCTCCAGCACAAGGAGTCCAGGCCAGGGGTAAAGGGCCAACAGAGGACAAGCAAACTGGTTTTTTCTAAGATGCCTAGGATAGCAAGAAATTTCAAATATTTACTCGTTTTTGTGGGTACCTTCTAGGGCTGGGTTGAGGCCTTTCCTTGCCTGAGAGAAAAAGCTTCTGAAGTGGTTAAGGCCTTAATAAAAGAGATTATTCCTAGCTTTGGAGTACCAGTTTCCATCCAGAGTGGCAATGGTGCAGGCTTTGTGGCCCAGATTAGACAGGATGTTTCCCAAGCCTTCAGTATAGCTTAGAATCTACACATAACCTGGAGATTACAGTCTACTGGAAAGGCTGAAAAGATGAATCATACGATAAAAGAGACCTTATCTAAGATTTGCCAAGAAACTAGTTTGACCTGGGATAAGGCGTTGCTAATTGCCCTACTTAGAATAAGAGTGGCCCCTAGAAGCAGGCTCAAGATGAGCCCTTTGAGAATTCTATATGGGAGACTCTTCCTGTGCTCCAGCTCTAGACTAAGGGACCCCAACAGCTTACTCATTAAAGAGCTAGAAATCATTAGATACATACAATCCATAGGTCTGACTCTAAATGCTATGCATGAGTTTGCTTCTAGAAGATTGCAGTTCACAGTGGGTGTTCCATTACATCGCATCCCGCCTGGAGACTGGGTAGCGCTTAAGACCTGGAGAAATCAGCATCCTGATGACCAACTGAAGCCCCAGTGGAAGGGGCCCTGGGAAGTCTTGCTGGTGACACACTCCTCTGTCAAGCTCACAGGAGTCAAACCTTGGATTCACCACCGTCGAGTGAAGTCAGCCTCGCCTGACTCCTGGCCCTGCAAGAAAAACCAAGGAGATAAATTGAGCTCCCACGGGTGGACAAATGAGCACCTGACAGACCTTAAATACCTCTTCAAGAAAAGTTCTAGGTAAGTAGTGCCTTTTGATCTTTTCCATTGTTGTTGCTTTATGCGAAAAGGTGGGATACCCAACCCCACCTTTACTAGACGTGTAATTCATACCATTATTTTATGACTGCCCTAATCATCATTATTACTGGGATTATCTGTATCTGGGACACTCTATGCCATGCCAGAACGGTTCCCTCCTTACCTTTGTTTAGACACCCCTAACACTCAGACTCATCGAGAATGCCACCTTTTGGTGCTGTGACTTTAGCTGCACTTATATTCCTCCTTCCTTGGTCACATGGCCTAGAATGGCATCACAACACAGTAGTTAAACTATCCCAAAGTATTACAACAGGGGGAAATCTGTCTAATTGTTGGATTTGCCAGCATCTCCCCAAATCCAACCAAGACAAACATCTGCAATCTGTGACTGCTGTTACTTTTTAGACATCCCTAACATGACCACCCACTTAGATCTTCCTCTGTCCTTAACCAGTTTTCAAGTTTGATTGGTCACCCATCACGATACCCCTACCCCATGTTTTGACTTGTCCCAACTCCTCTAGATAGAGAGAAAATAGTGGTCCACAGCCACCTTGATCCCTAGCTTATCAGACCAAGAGATGTAACCAGGATGGGACAGGGGGTCAGGTTAAAGAGGAGTCGGCTTTATGCAAACGTGTAAGACACCATGTAGATAGACTTTGAAAAACTTATGAATATTATGACCCTTGGTTTGATTCTGTGCTGGTTAAACTCCCTACAAATGAATCCATAAATGAATATACCCTCAGAGACATTACATGCACACTTCCGGGATATACATTTGTCTATGCATTGAGTCTGACCCTCCATCACTGCGGAAAGCCCACTGTTGTATAGACAGCTTGCACCTAGGAGGCTCTTGCCTGCTAGGTCATTTCATAACTCCTTTTACTACCCTCCCTGACAATGAGAGTCTCCACCCCTTACCCCATAAATTTAAAATAGGGTTTCCAGGAGGATACCAGGACACCTGGTAGCCAAACCCGCTGGGAGCATTAGTCCCTAGTTATGGAGGATATGCCGAAACAGACATGATTAGAAACCTGTCTGCAAGTGTAGAACTGATTGCAGAAGAAACTACAAAAAGCCTCAGAGCTCAACAAAAGGTCCCTCAACTCACTAGCTTGGGTAGGCTTAGATAATCAGGCAGCACTAGATTTCCTGTTGGCTAAACAAGAGGGAGTCTGTGCAGTACTAAACACTACCTGCTACGTCTTTATAAATACCTCAGGAAAAGTTAAAACCCAAATTAAAAAAAAACTGCTCCCAACAAGCTGTGTGGCTACAACAAGGCTCTACCAGTGACCCTGAATACCTGATTTCTTTTTGGGAATATTCACTTAAATTCCCCCAAATCTCAGATCAGTTCTATAGGGACTCTTAAAGTTTGGACTCTCACTCCTTATTTTAGGGCTTATTGTCTATCTTATGGTCCACTGTTCACTTAAATACTGTGTTAAGGCTGCAAATGAGGCCACTAGTGTTCTCATTATACAAACCTTAGGTCTAAAACCCAGTACCCATGAATATTTGCAGGTGACTGACTGCAAAACAGTTTTGTTTTTCTTACTCTGGGCTGTACCCCAACTACACCCCTTGTCAGCAGTAAGATGCCAGATTGGTAGTTTGCCCTTTCCTTTCTCCTTTGCCCACACCTCAGGAATGAGGTTGGGTAAAATCCCAGGGAGAGATTGAAACTGCCCTGTACAAATCAATAAAGGGGTGCAAGGCGAGAACTGTGGTCAGGGCCTAAAACTCTGTGAAGGCACAGGCCTAGCTAAAAATATCGACAACAATCAGCCACTGCCCCCTTGTTTGCTTCTCTATAATTACTACTCTGGAGTCACATAGCCGATTTTTAACTTTCTCCATAGATAACATCACCTTTTCAAAACCTAAAGATAGTTTCTGAGATATCTTCCAGTGAGTTGGCCGACTGTGGGGAATTGCCACCCCAACCCAGAAACTGACTCAGCACAAGAAGATGATTTCTACACTCCTATGATTTTGCCTTGAACCTAGCCAATTAGCAAACCCAATTGCCTAATCTTTTGCCCACCAAATTATCTTTAAAAACCCTGTCTCCCAAATACTCAGGGAGGCAGATTTGAGAAATTTCTCCCTTTTCCCCGTTTAGCACTCTGCAGAATTAAACTCTTTCTCCACTGGCTCAGTGTACTGGCTCTTCTCTGTGCAGGGGGCAGTATAACCCAGTTGGGTGGCAACATTATTTGCCATCAGATAAACTGATCTTTCAGCAAGCAGGCCTCATGCCTTCTTATCCTCCTGGTATACATCATGTACCACCTAGGGGGACATTTAGGTGAGAACTTTGGTCACCTGTACACTGGTCATCTAAATCAGGGGCTGACAGTTTACTTACCAAGGACCAAATCTGGCCCACCATATGCTTTTGTAAACAAAATTTTACTGAAGCATAGCCACACCAACTACAGCTGCTTTGACACTATGAAAAGGCAGAGCTGGATAGTTGCCACAGAGAACTAGGGCCTACAAAGCCACAGATACTTACAGCTTGCACATTCTGCCCATATCTGCTTGGGTTTTCTCCAGGTACTGCAGTGTCCTTCCCCATCCCAAAGGTATGCACGTTAGGTGAACTGGCGTGTCTCAGTGGTCTGAGTGAGCGTGGGAGTCGGTGTGAGTGCATTCTGTGACAGGATGGCACCCTGTCCAGAATCGGTTCCCACCCCAGCATCCTGAGCTGCCGGGATAGTCTCCAGCCACCCGTGACCTTGAACTGGAATAAGCAGGATGGAAAATGAATGAATACAAATTATTGTAAATTTAAAAATTCACAAAGTAAACAATAATTATGCAAAAGCATAACAATAAACCATGCAATACAAAAGTATTCAGTGAGCCCACCCTAGTGGTTATTGTTTGTTTTTGAACTGCGTGACAGAAGGAGGTGCTCCTTACAGTTTTCACTTTATAAACACTTATTCCTTGATTTAACCTACCACCACTACAACTGCCATCATTCACTGACTCACAGAAAATTAGGTAAATAATTATCTTACTTGTTTTTATTAATCTCTATTAAATGTATGTATCACTCACATGTATTTCATTTCAATGTTTAATATTAGAAGTGTTTTGGGCCTTTATTTAGAAGTTTGGTTATGTTTTTGTTACCAGAAATAATGCAGTAGAAACTTAACTCTTGCTTTTATCTATCAGCCTATGGTAAAATTGTTTTCCTTATACATTGCTTAACTTAAAGCAAGTTCCAAAAACCCAACAAAAAAGGCAAAGGAAGAACTAAAAGAATAACCAACCAAACCCTTCCCCTTTTTAATTTTTTTTAGACAGAGACTCACTCTGTCACCAGGGCTAGAGTACCATGATGTCAGTCTAGCTCACAGCAACCTCAAACTCCTGGGCTCAAGCCATCCTCCTGCCTCAGTCTCTGGAGTACCTTGGACTACAGGGGCATGCCATCATGCCTGGCTAATTTTTTCTATTTTCAGTTGCCCAGATAATTTATCTATCTATCTATCTATCTATCTATCTATCTATCTATCTATCTATCTATCTATCTATCTATCTATTTAGTAGAGATGAGGTCTTGCTCTTGTTATGGCTGTTCTAGAACTCTTGACCTCAAGCAATTCTCCCGCCTCGGCCTCCCAGAATACTAGGATTACAGATATGAGCCACCACGCCTGGCCTTGTACTATCTAACTCTTTACAGAAAAAATTTGCACACCCTGAACTAAATTTTTGTGTTGTTTTTTCTTAATTATTGATGTTATTACTGTCCCACCTTTATATGTGAAGAGTCTCTGCAGATACTATAAGTCAGGCAAGCCTGAATTAGTTAGATTCAGCTGATTATCAGCTCATATATGGGCATCTATGGAGTGAGCCAGATCTTCACTTAGACACATATGTGAAACTCAAGTTCAGCCCAACAGAGACCAGGCCCCTGTAAGTGAACCAGCTTGGCCAACCTGAGCTGAGCCTGTCCCTCTTCACTGGGAGAGCCAAGGGTGTCACATCATGGAAATGCAAATGCCTGCTTGTGTAAGCTGTTCTGTAATAGGTGATAAATGGGGAAATTAGTTTCTAGCCTGCCTAGTACTGATAAGTAGGGACTAAAAGAAGAAACTTAAACATAAAAGAGGAGAATGGGCACAAGGAAAAGGAGAAAGTATCCAAACTAGGGGCAACTGAAGGGATATGATGCCCTGAAAACTGACAGCCCTGGGCAGTTAAAAGCAGAACCAGGCAGGGCAACACTCAAGCAAAGCGCTGAGAAAATGCTAAGGGTTTAATCTGGGATAAACGGGACTGACAGATCCAAAGGACAGGCATTGGACTAAAAATAGCAGATAAGCCTAGGGAAAGGAAAACATAGATTTGAAACAGAGCAAGTGGAAGGGTGACAGCCAAAGTAGGAAACATCCAGACAGTTGCACCACAAAGAAAGGGAAACTAGCTTTCATTCAATGGCTTTTGGCTTGGTATTTGGAGTTTGGGCGATTTGAATCAATGGGAAAAAATTGAAGGTGTTTAGCAGGACCACCCATTCAAAAAACAGAGTTTCAGGGTGCTTCTGAAGTTATTTATTTATTTTTTTTCCTGAGATTGATGGGAAGACTTAGAGATTGACACAGAAAAAAACTTTGATTCCTCAGAAATCAAGGGGGTGGTTAGTCCCAGGAATTCGGGAGTGGAAAAGCAGGATGGAATTTGCAAGGTAAAGCATTTTTCTTGGAGTAAAGGTTGAAAACTCCTGAAAGGGCTTGACTTTAAGGAATGGAGAGCGTAAATGCCTGGGTCCTGGGCTATGTTGTCTCCATCTGACCTGGGGTGGCGGGCCAGTGACTCAATAGTTAGAGGTTGGTCATTGGTTGAGTGCTCGATCCTAGGCACCAAGGCTTGGGTGAGCTTCCCTCTATTGGCAATACTT